CTTATCGAAGCACCAACATCTACTTTTCCTTAGACAAAATTTGGCTTTGTTAAGAACAACCAGTACCAAGTCACCATTTCCCCGTGGCAAACCTTCCACCCAAGACAAAGCAAATTGTTTTCACTTTAATTCTCTCATATTGCTAGAGACACCGTACCAATTACCTAGCTCTCATTGCTCCATTGCCAACACTTATCACCAAAGCTCCATACCTCCATGCCACGGCCACAACTCACTTATGGCCACACGGAATGAGACGACATAGCATGGCGTGATATATGACTCGACATGCCAAGCTATTAAAAATACTTGGTGGCAAAATCCTCATATTGAAGTCTAAGAACTCGACTCAAATTTTCACTTTGGTATCTCTTTTTATTTTAGCCATTGTTGGCTAGTGTTTTTTATTGTTAATATATAAATATACATGTTTATTTAATATGGCAAAGAGTGACCGAGTTAGTGCTCTCCATCTCCTTTGGCAACAACTAATGCGCCAAAGGTCACCCACTCCCAAATCCATGGATTGAAGCAGGCAAGCCATCCATAGACAACATGCCTCTTTTTCTCCATGAGACATGACTTCCCATACAGCAATTTTGAATTTTCTAGCTTACCAACGGTTGGCGCATGATCGGCATGTTGCAGATCAGGATCCATCCATGGAGAACGCACAGGATCCATCCAACTCATACACCTTCTTGTTCCACCTCTAACTTAGCCCCATCTCTGTCAACCATATACATCCCTCCTCACTCTGCACTTTTCCTTTAGCCACAATCAGGGTCAGAGCCAAGAATTTAGGTAGGGGGGGGGGGGGAGATAAAATTTTTGAAGTAAGAGTTTATTATGTTATTTATTGTTCAACACAAATTATCAAAATATTGACACACATAAGTTTATTTTTAACTAGTAGAAGAGCTTTGTATAGAAAGGTTGGGGATAAGAAAGTGAGATACAAAGTAAGACAATGGGCAAAAAGTTAAAAACACTACTAAAATGGAAAACTTAGGTACCAAATCGTAAGGTATGCGAAATTTGGGACAAAAGGTGTACTAAAATGAAAACATTTGGTACAAAATCGCACATGCATAACTTGGAATTAAGAAGTAAAATTTCATGAATTTAAATGATTCATTCAAATTTTAGGTACCAAATCGTAAACATGCAAAATTTGAGGTTAGGAAGCAAAATTTTACAAAATTATAACTTGCAGCTAGCAGCCATCAAACCTAGGACCTCCCCTCTAAGGTCAAATGTTACACACCGCTAGACCACAACTTGTGTTATTTATTATTAGTGCAAAGTCAGATTTTAATATCCCCCCCCCCCCCCCCCCCCCCCCCCCCCCCCCCCCCGCTTACACTCTAGCTCCGTCTCTGACCACAATCCATTCCAAAGCCTTTTTCGCCACCTTCTACCCTACCGCTATCGTATGCGTCTCTTTGACTTCGAAAATTCTCTGGTTTCTCTCGAGCCACACCACCCACCAGACTGCGCGAAGAATACAGCCATCAAACCAACCCTCTATGTTGTCTCCTTCTGCAGTAGGCCAATTCGCAATGATTTGTTTTATCTCTCCATTTCTTCTTAGAGACATGCTTCTCCTGCAATACAGAATACTCCAAATATTCTTCATGAAATCACAGTCCACAAGGATGTGAAAAATCGTTTCTTCACTCTTCTTACAGAGGCAACATCGATTCACTAAGCTTAAGCCTCTCTTCTTCGGATTATCAACAGTTAAGACCCTGTTATGATAGGCCAACCAAATAAAGAAGCAAATCTTGCTCGGAACCCACGAAATCCAAACGTTCTCCACTTGAAACTCTTCGAGGCCACCTAGCTGAGTGTCTTCCAACTCCTTATACAGAGATCTCACTGAGAAAACTGAGTTAGCCTCAAGTCTCCAAGTTATCCTGCACGGGCTATGTGAAAAGTACAAAGGATTCACAAAATTTAGAAAATCCGAAAAAAAATCCCTCTCCCTTTTAGCCCCTCCCCTCGGACTATATTTAAAATTAAAATGCCAACTCACAATCTCACCCTCGAAACTTACAGTGTCGGAAAGCAAGGCGTCAGGGTCAAGGACAGCAGCAACAACACGAGGAAATGAGGCAGCTAGCACAATCCCAGGGATCCAACAATCGTGCCAGAAGGAAACTTGAGTACCATACCCCGGATCGATTACAGCAAAATTCCAAAACTGGTCACACTCCTTACTTATATTTGCGCAAACCGACCTGGAAAAACCACCTCTTTCCTTCCTGGTCTGCCAACAGGACGCATCATTCGGATATTTGTAATTGATCAATTTCTGCCACCAACTTTTTCTCTCCACCGCAAATCTCCACAGCCATTTCGAAAGCAGAGCGTCATTAAAAAGCTCCATATCATGTATCCCAAGACCTCCGTTCTGAATAGACGTTTTACACAGCTTCCAATCAACCACGACCATTTTATTACCATCAGACTTCCCGTTCCAGAGAAACCTTCTTTGGAGACTTTCTAAGTCTTTTACCACTGAAATTGGGCCCTTAAATAGAGAGAATAAATAAGAAGTAGATCTGAAAAGGACCGAATTGATCAAAATCATCCTAGCCCGAGAAGACAGGTTTCTACTTCCCCAACCGCTCAATCTGCTTTGGTATCTTTCAACGATTCCATCCCAAATCGATTTCTCATTCGGTTTCGCACCAAGGGGAAAACCAAGGTATTTAGGCGGGTCTCTGCTCCACTTACACCCGAAGATTGCTGCGAAATAACTCGGTTCGGCTACGTCCCCTACCGTATACATAACTGATTTATCCAAGTTAATTCTCAGACCAGTGACAGTTTGGAAGATCACTAGGATGGCAAGGATGTTTGGTACTTGATCGTGTCTTGCGTCACAGAAAATCAATGTGTCATCAGCGTACAACAAATGCGTCACTTCCTCCAACTTCTTGTCCTCATCCATATAGAACCCTTCAAACTTCCCGTTGTCTCTACCAATTTCCAGCATCTTGGAGAGGACATCCATCACCAACACGAATAATCCTGGGGAAATAGGATCGCCTTGACGGAGACCCTTAGAGGCCGGGAAGAAGCCATTAGCCTCTCCGTTCACTAAGATAGAAACGCTGTACGAGAACATCGAACCTTTGATCCATTTCGACCATCTTTCCGGAAAACCCATCGACTCCATTATCTTCAGAAGGCACCCCGAATTCACGTTATCGAAAGCTTTTTCGATATCGAGCTTGAACATAAGACCATGTCTCCTGCTCTTCTGCCTGCTCTCCACTACCTCGTTTGCTAAAAGACCCGCCTCTGCTATTTGTCTCCTTTTAACTGACGAGTGTTGATGTTTTGATATAATCTTAGGCAGAATGTCTCCCAACCTCTTCGACAACACCTTATTAATCAATTTATTGATGCTCCCAATCAGGTTGATCACCCTTAGATCTTTAATCTCCTTAACCACGTATTTCTTAGGATCCAAGCAAACGAAAGAATGGGTTACACACTTCGGGAGAGAACCCGTTTCATGGAATTCCTGAAAAACCTTCAGAATCTCGCCTTTCAAATATGCCCAGCAGCGCTTGAAAAATTCCATTGTGAATCCGTCTGGACCCGGTGTCTTGCAGCCGTCACTATCACTCAAAGCTTTCCAAATCTCCTCCTCAGTAAACGATCGACACAGAAGACCCCTATCCAGGTCATCGAGATGTTTCTCCCACTCCCATCTAGGGAAAGGCCGAATAAGCCAATCTTCTTTGAAGAGTTTTTGGTAGAATTGAACGAGACCCGTAACAACCCTAGCAGGATCTTCCTCCATCCCCCCCCCCCCCCCCCCCTCAATCTTAATTCTTTCCACTCTGTTGACCTTTCGTTTGTAGTTCGCCATCAGATGGAAATACCCAGTGTTCTTCTCCCCTAACTTGACCCATACTTCTCTAGATTTTTGTCTCCAGCAAATCTCTTGTAGATAAACCACCTTCTTCAATTCGAGCTCCAGCTTAACTCTTTCTTCTTTCTCGCCCTCCTGCAGCACTCTAACTTCTTCTCCTAATTCCAACACCTTGATTTTTCCAAGCAGATCCTCCACCCTTTTGTCAATATTCCCAAATGTCTCTTTATTCCAAATCTTCAACTTGGCTTTAATATAACTCAGCTTCCTAGCAAACAAAAATACAGCTCCTATCCCCTGAACGTTCTCACCCAGCCAGTTGCTTAGTTCTTGATAGAATCTTGGATCTTCTAACCACATATTTTGAAAACGCCATGGCCTTTTAATTTGCTTATACTCCCCCCACTTCACGACCAGTAGATTATGATCCGATTCGATTCTCTCCATAGCCTTCAGAGAGCAATCTGGGTATGTATGATCGAACTCATGAGAGATCAAAACTCTATCAATTCTAGGTAAAGACCTCCCATTCGACCCGTGGCTCCAAGTGAAATTGCAGACACCAAGTGGAAGGTCAAGAAGACCATTGCTATGAATGAACATATTGAACTCTCCCATAAGCTCTGAACTGCGTCTCGACCCGATATAATCAGAGTGGCTTCTGACCAAATTAAAATCCCCGGCTATACACACCGGCATTGACTGCTGTTGACAACACCCGTGAAGCTCCCTAAGAAATTCTAACTTTTTATGCTTTTCCTACGAACCGTATTCCACTACCAGTTGCCAATCAATACGACTGCTCAAGTCCCTTGATTCTACTGTAATGAAGTGATTTCCTTCCTAGCAAGCCCTTTTATCAAAAAACGCTTTATCCCAAACTATCGCAATCCCTCCGAAACTTCCCTTTGCGTCTTTAGATACCCATCCCCAATCCTTTCTGCCGAAAACGATTCTAATCAACCTTTCTGAGCACTATGCCCACTTTGTTTCCACTAAATCCACAATCTTAGGGTTATGTCTTCCAATAAGGCGCTTGACTCTGCACCTTTTATCCCCATCGCCCAGTCCCCCTTACGTTCCAAATACACATATTCGTGCTCATTATTTAACAGTCGATAGAGTACCTACCCTTTCCTTTCCGACACTTTCTCGGTCCCGTCGGAGATGGCTCCGCTGGTCCCAGACGATGGTTTTCCATTTCTAACTTAGATCTTGTGTTTCTGACCTTCATCTTGTGCATTTCTTTCGCTGCTTGTGAAATCATCTTATCCGCCTCCCCCTCACTGTCGGTACCTTCGAGGCTCAAGACTCTACCGATTGATTTGCAAGCGTTGATCGATGTCTCTTTGTCGAACGGAAACAAATCTGCATTCCACTCGCGGCTCGAGTCACTGATAATGCACGATGGAGAGGGCAATTTACTACACGCAACCATCGAAGCTTCCATGTCTAACGAGACACCCGTCGGAGTTTGTGGCACCCAACTCTCTGAACTGGCATCGATCAATTCCTCCGATTCAAAGCTTGAGGTGAAGTGGGAATTCTTATCGCAATCTGAGGAGAGAATTTCGTCAAAGTCAAAGGACTCCCCAATTCTTTCTTTCGTGGGTAATGACTTAGCTTCCGACCTAGTTGAGATGTAGCCTAACCAGACAGGCTTCCAAAGCCCAGGCAGACCAAAAAAGATTCCTTGACCATTATTATCTCTAAGCCCAACTTCAGTCCAGCAAAATCTCATTACTTCAAATGCCTTCCATGGCGACCCAACATAGAGCTCCCTCATAAGGCCCGAATAATTTAGAGGTTGCCTTGAAAAATTGGGCTCAGAAGCCCCATACCTGATGACCGCTCTCTTTACCATCTCTTTCACCTTAGGAACATGATTCGCGGGCCGCACCGGGCCTTATTTCCTAATCCATCTTTTCAAAACACCCTGTCGGCCCAAAGGGTTCATATTCTTTCTCTGCTTCTCATTCGCCCCTGAAGAATTTTGCGAACCGCCTCGAGCCCCTCCCCTGCTCCATGCATGCGTATTCCTCTTCCCATTCCCCAACGATACGCCCGTTAGCCCTGACTCTTCGTCTACCTTCGCGTGTTCTCCCCTTTTTCATCTAATCCCAGGAGCCGGCGGCACCATGATTCCAACCTAGAACCGTTGATTTCCATCTCTGAGAATAACCTTCTTTGGTATATCCCTAATTTTCATAATCCTAATTCTCACAGACGGGAAGCACCACAGGTTCCAATCAATCTCAAGAAATCTACCACAAAAATTTCCGATTGTTTTAATCACCTCGATGCTCTTGAGGTGCAGAGGAATATCTGTAGCCAGGATCCACGTTGACTCCCCGCCGGTAGGGATGGCAAAACCGGCCTGCCCCGACGGGTTTTCCCGGCGCACCCCAATATGGGGCAGGTCATACCCGACCCGTCCACAAACGGGGCGGGTCTTGGCCCAACCCGTAACAGTTCAGGCCAGGTCCAGGCACTAAGCCCACCCCGACCTGTCCCCGCCCCGCATCTGCTCTCTCAATAGTCAATACCCATATGTGAATCGTCGACACCAGCTCAATCTTGGAAGTTGGCAGAATTAATTCTCAATCTCCCTCTTTTCTCCCACCTAGCACCCACGCATGGACCCTTTGATGCTTCGTTTCCCAACAAGTTCCCACTTTCCCAGATCCATAGTCATTTGCTTCTCCCTTTCTCCTTTTGCTTCCCAATTTACCAAATCCATCGCCATTTCCCAACGATTAATCCCTCTCAAACTCGACTGGCCGAACTTCAGCCAATGCCTCGTCTTTTGAATCCAAATCTAACAGCAATCTTAACAGCCCAATCCCTAGATATTATATAAAGGATGATTGATAGATCTTCTCATGCACTTCTCCTTCTTCACATATCCAAACCAAGAGATTCAATAGGTAACAAATTGATTCTTTTGGTATTTGGTTGTTGGCTGGTTCAAGCAAATGTGCCAATACTGTCCTGCCACCCAATAGTTGGCTACGACTTCATCATAAGAAACATGCATAAGTGTGCTTTGATGTGCAGGGATCAAAAGGAGCTTCCTACTTTTCAATTTTTTGTCCTCTGCCTAGGCTTCCCCTTCCTTTTTGTTTTACAGTTATATCTTTTGTTTAGATCTCATGTTTCTCGCAGTACTCTAGTTATGCTTGTACAACCATGTTGTCTTCTTTGTATGGGATTTACCATTTAGTTGTATGATTGTGTTCAATTAGTTGGCTTTGCACTTCATATTTTGATGTTTATGTCGTCCATATGTAATTTATGTGTTCTGTATACTTCTGATTTTGCTATCCTTATTTGTGATGCTATATGCAGCTTTAATAGCATAGCCAGATCTTATTTATTATCAGTTTCTCTTTCTATTTGATGCATTATTGGTTATCTTTTTTTTGTATCAATCCCTGCAAGCTGCATCTTTGTTTTTACTAGCATCTTTTTTTATGTCGTGTTTCATATATGTAGGTTGTAGCAAGCTACACAAATGGAAACTGGTGGAGCTATAGGCAAAACATGTTCCGAAGTGTGGTCTCATTTTGACCAAATACAAGTTGGCGAGAAGAGGAATGTAATGTGCAAATACTGCAACTACTGCTTGGCTACACATCCCAAGCTAGGAACAGTTCATCTATGGAGGCATTTGGATAGATGCACAAAATGAAAGGTATGGTGCAGTGTTCTTGTATTTATTCAACTTGTCATATAATATGGTTTACATGTCAATGTATGGTAGTCGTTGATTCATGTCATCTATATATTTATTAAATCCTGAAATCTTGGTATAGTATTAAGAAGGATTGCCTCAACATATCTGACCTTCGGAAGGTAGCTATGATGCAATTTTGTAGTTAGTTTGTTAGTTGGTCATGAACTGATTGATGTATTTATAATTTGTTAAATTATAAGATAATGATTTACCGTGAAACCGGTGTTGCAGCCTGCACAAATAGCAGTATCGGTTGAGGTTCAGATTGGGTCTGAAAAGGAAACCAATGACCATGCTGATAATGATAATTGAGGTATGATTCTGGTGTCAAGTTTTCAGATTTATTCTCTCTAGTTCAACTTATGTGTATGTTGTATCTGTTAGTAGCTAATTATGATTAGGAGATGGTTTTATTCCATTTCTACTTTTGCTCGTATTGCTTTTTGTGTTAATGAAAATTGCAGACTGTGGCAGCTTGAGATGAGTGAGTGAGTGAGTGAGTGAGTGAGTGATGCAGCTTGCAGAAGTGAAGGTCTTGATGAACTTGAAGTCTGAAATTGCATACATTGTGATGGAGCTTAATTAGTTTTGTTGCTTTTTTTTCTTTCGAAGAACATTTGCAGATTCATTTTGGTTTGAGTTGAATTGTGTCATTTACCTAAATTGTAAATACAATGGGATGATTCATTAATCTGTTTTTACTTTGGACCCATGAAATTTTAATGTTATTATTTGTTCTTTGAGAAGCATGGGGCATATGACCCGCCCCGTACAGGGAGGGCATGGGTCAGACGAGCATTACCCATGGCAGGTCGTGGGGCAGGGCGGGGCGAAAATCAAATGGGCAGGGCAGGTCTTTGTAGTGCACTACCCGACCTGTTCTGAAGTTTCCTCCTCATCTGTCCAGCTTACAATCAGAGGCTTTACACCTCTATATTGAAGATGATTCATCTTTCTTATTCTCCCATCCTCGGCCACACTTGGATACACCAGGAACCAGCTTCCATCGGATCTATCTTCAATACCAAAATTGTCATTGATCTCCCAATTTCGAACTGCCCATCTTCTAAAATCTGGGATATCTTCCGATGTGAAAGAGTGATCATCACCCCACCTTATAATTAAGCTTCTCCCCAGAAACTCAGTTCTTTCTTGTACTCCCTCTTTCCCTACTACTATACACCGGTCTGAACCATTCCCCATTATTATGCACTTACCAGCCCCATAGAAGCCCCCCTCCCTTGACTGTCTCTGCATACGATTTTGCGTGTGGTCTCTCCCTTTCATACTCTGTTTCCGGCATGCACTCTACCACTGCGTTCCGTAGGAGTTTTGGATCTTCAATTTCAATTCTTATGTATAGAAGTTGCTTAACATGTATATGATAGGAGCCCACCCTCTCCGATGACTATCTTCTGGAATGATAACTTTGTAAGTTCTACCGTTCCTTGCCTGTTCTGAGATCTGTATGTACTGTCCCTGCCAATTTTTTGCACTCCCTATGTGTATCAATCTTCCCCTGCTACTCTTCACGCAACTGACTGGGAATCTCCAGTTCCTTCTTGCTGCAGTTTGAAGGACCCCCTATATCCACGTAATAAGAACCTCATCCATCATTATACTCCACTTCCTTTCACGCCAACCCACCTGCAACTTGTATCGCCTTTCCGTTCCGAACTCAATCTTCCGAACTGACACGATCTTTTCACCCATATGAATCTGCCTTCTGCACTCATCCCTGGTTGCCGAGTAGCCTTCTCTTGACCCTTCAGCTTCCGACCTGCAAAACAAAAGACTCTCACTTTCCCTTCCCCGAAGAAACCCAGAACCTCGCCAACTCTCCAACTCTCTGATCTCTCCCAACTCCGGCCAGACATTTGGTTACTTGGATGCTTTTGACCCTAGTTTTACCCCAAACACGACTGATCTACCCGGAAGGAGGTACTGTTTTTCATGCTAACAATTTTTTTGTTAGCACCGCAAACCTTCCCTCTTTTATATTTGATAATATTATTATCTAATTTGTTTTATTTTTAAAATTTTATAAACGATAGCAAATTAGATTTTCCAAAATAAAATTAAAAATATGATAAGGAAAGTATTGTATTTTCAAAACAATTTTTATCTTTTTTTTTGTCAAAAGATAATATATATTAATCCAAACAAATAGATAGTTACATCCTGAAAATCAGACAAGCCAGGAAATCAAAGAAGCGACTATCAGCCGGATACAAAGAGAGGGCTTTTCTAGCTACCGAGTGAGCTACCTTATTGTTCTCCCGACATATAAACCACACACTAAACCCAGGATGGGCACGAAAATAATGACAATTTTTGTCAAAAGCTCCAATTAGGAGTTTATGCTTTTATGTTATGCAAAAACACTTTTTCAACTTTTCAAAAGCCGACATTTTAGAGGTGTTTGATCTTGCTTAATCTTTTGGAACAGAAAAACACCTTTAAAAACTAAGCCAAGCACAAACATAATTTTCTTTTTTTATACAAATCGAACATGCACGTTTAACATTCGAAACACCAATCCTTTAGAACATCAATACGATTAATAGCATACTAAAAGGCTCCCAAAACTAGATGTGTCCTGCCACAAACACCTTGCCTCCCCCTGTGGATCTAGTAAGATACGATTCACCATGTAAGAAACTCAATATGGAACAGCAAACTGATATGAACCACACTAGCGACCAGTAAGAACCCAAAAAAACAACACGAAGACAGGTTTCATTTTTTACATTGATGTACTCATGAAGAAACTCTGAATATCAAAAACAGGACTGGAAGACATGTTTAGACAAACAAAACTCAGCTTTCTCTCGAGACAGGGACGACAACTACTCTAAGCACCTCGTTTTTATTATTAGCTCATAAACTACTCGAACACACTCTCTATCTTTCTCTCTTCAACTCTCATTGCTACGATTGCAACCCTGTACACAAGCCAAAAAAACAGCAGACTGTATCAGTCCATCAGCTTCTTTTCTCTGCCCATATAATTCCCCTCTGTTTCAGAGCACTTTCCCCTGCCTCATAAAATTCCACCTGAATCGCAAAGAGAACCAAAAAGGGGGCAAAAGGGGGAATAGAACAAGCAGCCCAGCTTCATATTTTTTATCATCATCAATTGGTAGCTCCAACTCCTAGGAAATCGATGAAATGGAGGGTCATGATCTCCCCATTCCCATTGTCACCATCACTTGTTCTGATTATCTTCTCTCGCCTGAAGCTTTTCCCGCCGGCGGTTCCAACTGACCCGCTGCTCTCGGAATGATCCGACCCACCACCGGATTGGTTCACGCCGCTGCCACTTTCCTTGTCATGATTAGACCCATTGCTGTAACAGCTGTGGGTATTGTTGCTGTCTCCGGATCTCTTCATTATGATTACCTCCTTTTCTGCACCCACAACAGCATCTACATTTGCCCCCATAACCCAAAGTCAAACCACAATTATTTTGGCAGAGTTGCTAACATTGCGCGTTGATCGGAATCGCTATGGTTAGAAAGGGGGAGAAATGACCAGAACGAAACACTTGAAAAAGGGAATTACTAAATTACCCATTTGTTGTTTCGCCGGTGGGCTGAACCTGGAGAAGGGTAAGTGAGGAGTCGCTCTCTTGTTGGAGGAAGGTGTGAGGGATAGATCGGTTGTACAAGTGGATCGATCGCCGCTCGTCGTCGTCGATTCGCTGCCGTTTTGGTGAACGGTAGTGAATCTTTTGTTTGGGATCGGTAACTGATGAGATTGGGAAGCAGGGGAAGAAACAGGGGAAACAGAGGAAGAAGGAGGAGGAGAAACTGGCTTTCGCCGGCGGTAGACGTTGGATTGCTCCCGCTGCCGTCTGGCCATTATGACGTGCCAGTGATTCTTGACGGCATTGTCGGTCCTCCCTGGGAACAGCCTGGCGATCATCGCCCATTTGTTTCCGTACACGCGGTGAGCAGCCAGAAGCCGGTCTTCTTCCTCTTCGCTGAATGCCCTCCGGTTTATCCTTGGGTCAAGCTGGTTGAACCACCGCAGCCTGCAACTCTTCCCTGCCAAGTTTAAAAAATAAAACTGAATCAACAAAAGCGGTTTACTTGTTCCGTATTTCCCCCCCTTTTCTCCACTTGGTCAGTTAGATCGGATTACCTGATCTTCCTTGGAGATGCTCAGCGATCAAGTTCCAGTTCTGAGGGCCGTACTGAGAGACGAGCTCTTTGAGCTTGGAGTCTTCAGCGGGTCGCCAGTGTCCTCTAGCACAGAGCTTCTTCCGGCTGCCATTTCTTCCGGGAACAGAGTAATGCTCTGCTTCCCCTGCTCCTTCTTCTCCTTCTCCTCCTTCTTCTTCATCGTTTTCGTTTAAGTCCAGAGAAAGGCTCCAGAACGGCCGCTTGTTCTGACCCATAACCAGCGCCGAACTGCTCTCCGTGGGAATCTGAACCACCATTTCAGCTCTGTGAAGAGAAAGCTGAGAAACAGGGGAAGGAGACGAAAGAGGCGGAAAGTTCGCTCCTTTATGATGAAATACGCGAAACCCAGCAATGGTTTGAATGTTTCTGGGCAGTTGTTGCTGCTGGGGACTCATTTTTCAGTTCCCAGATCGCCAAAAGAAAATTTTGAAAGCGAAGAAGGGTAAATGGGGATAGCAAAACAGAGGAGGAAGGATCGGAACTTAGAAGCAACAGAGTAGCATTTGCAGGGTGAAGGGAAGGAGGAAATTTGAAAATGGAAGAAGGCGAGTGAGAGAGGAAGGAGAGATGATTCGAGGGGAAGATATAGAGGAAAGTGTGGGGGTGGGAATCGTTTGTGTGCATGGAGATCGAGAACCGCTCGTGTGGGTTGGGTGTGCGTGCGGGTGTCACAGAAACCAAACCAAAAAAAAAAAAACAGAGTACACAGAGAGAGAACAGAGAGCAGAGAGTTAGAATGCTTTTGGCGTTTCTGGGTATTGGCGTTTCTGGCCTCTTTTCGGTTATATTTTCTTTTGCTTTTTGTGGGGTTTGTTTAATATCTATATATTTTCTGCCTTCTTGGGGTTTGGGGGAAGAAAAAGAGGAACAGAATCTGTTTGTCTCTTTCATAAAGGCTCCAGCTTTTTTCTTGCCAGAGGGCAATTGGCAAAAGACCAAAAAGAGGGGCAAGCCAAGGAGGGAGAGAATTGGGGAAAACGGATGCATGTAATATATCAAGGAGGACTACTTGCTATTTTACCATCAAAAGGGTTCCCAAAAGTTTTTATTTTTATTTTTTGGTCTATAAAGTACATCATACCTTTGAATGTATGCATCCAAGAATTTGCCATTTTCGATTTTGAGTGTTCTTTGTAAGGATTGAAAATCGTACTATTCTGAAAATCGTACTATTCTGGTGTTTCGATTGAAAATTTTCTTATCGAAAGCTAAACGATAGGCGATATTAAACTATATGAAATGACTGAACCACAATCAAAGCACAATTTTAGTTAAAATATTATACTGCTAACTTTTTTCGATACAACCTTTTATACGATTTTCAATTCTTGGTTTATTCTTCTCGAGTTTTAAAATTACAAGTCTCATCATATCAGCGAGCTCAGCCCCGTGAACACGTGGGAGAGGGAGATGAACTTACCTTGAAGGTGGCCAGGAAGTGATAGTTCACATTAATACACTAGGGTGGTTTGATAGTTCACTTTAGTACACTGGGAATAAATACAGGGATGGGATTAGGTGCTAACCCTTATAGGGGTTAGCACCGTGATAACTAGCAAAAATCACTACGGATTATTATAAAATCAATACAACATCTAAGCTAAATCACTACTAATTCAAACTAGTAGTAGTTTTTCCCTTGGTTAGGACGGTGCTAACTATTGTACAATTAGCACCGTAACCCCTCCCATAAATACATGTATTTACGATATGCCTGTACTAATGATTCGGATACATGGTTAAATTATAATAAAAAAAATTATTTTGTATCTTCATACTTAAAAAAGGGATAAAATTATAAGCTGCTTTTAATAATATACCACTTTTAGTATTCTTCGTATAAAATTAAAAACTAAAATAAGTAACAAAACTGGAAAGGAAGATAGAAATTCATAAGAAAACAATACATATATTTATTTATTTATTTATTTTGGTAGAAAAAACAATACATATATTGAGTGCGATTAAAACCCAAAAAATGATAATTCTAATGAATACATATATTGAAATAATCTTATCAAAATAATCACATAAATCAAACGATCCTAGTTGCCTTCATAAAACATAGAGTTACGAGAACTTAGTGATCGCCATACGTATAAACATGAATTTGTCAAGGATGTCATTTATCGAGATGATGAAGTACCTCTTCAGCCAAACATTTTCACATACCAACTAAAGCTAACTATTTATATTCTCTCTATAATAAGATTGGGATTTTGGAGCTTGCTTTTTGGTGCAAAGTAATTAAAGTGTTGCCTAATTACTTGTCATAAAATCCTAGTCTCTAGGGCTAATTCATAGAGAGAAGAGAGATAACAAAATAGCTCAATATCTTCATCTTTTAGGATTGAATCTTTGATTTCAAGATCAACCCAAGCCTCCAATCAAACTTCAATATCACTCAAGATCACTCTCTCTCTAGAAATGCCTCTTTGGTGTTTTAGGTCAGAACCCTAAAGAAAAAAAACCAAGCTCTCCCAAAACAGCCAAGCTCCCTTTTCTCTCTCCTATCTGCCTTCTATTTATACAGCCCTAGTGCTCAGATCAGGGGTCAAAAATCACGACTGTGATCTCGGCAGGCAGCCCGCGATCTTGACAAAAGATGTGCCATTTTGGATCCATCTTCACGGTCTCTGTGTAAAAATCATGGTCTTCAGATCGTGATCTCGATAGTGCCCACAAAATGCCAGAAGTCGCACCATATTCATAGTCTGAGGGCGTGATCCTAACCTCCAACTGTGATCTTTGCGTCTTTTTCATATACTTTGGGGTGTTTCGACCTCCAATCATACCGAAACTTGTTCTTGACCTTCCCACATGTACTAGGACCTGAAATTTCACAAAACAAGCACAACCTAGCGTAAAATAAGCCGAGGAATGATGATTTCCAAGTCAAACAATCAAGATATAAGGGGGTAAAAGATGTGTAATCATGTCTGAATCAGGACCTTTGATATTGAACTCTTCACAAAAAAGGCCTTTAAGTTGGAAATCTCAACTATATCATTTTCACCAACAAGAAGATTATTTATAGACTTATATACAGTTGTAGGAGGTAGCAGTGGTCTTCTAAAAGAGAGAGTGATCCACTCCATTGGATTAATAGCCCTAAGCATGTAGTTTGTTTGTGACATTAAAAACCCATTATTGTAATGCATGTTTAAGACCATATATTGATTTCTAAAGATGGAAGGAATAAGACTCCAAATGCCTAAATGTTCCTTGTAACCTGGAGTAGCTTCATGTAAACTGCTTGAGTGTGATATCCATGCAAAAATGCATTGTTCACATCTAGTTGTTGAATATACCAACCCTGAGTAATGTTGGAAGGGTAATCATCAACCTACGAAGCATGGCTAGAAGGATGGCTATAAGACTCATGTACTATTTGATTCGAGGTGTCTAGAAAATTGATTTCTTTGAAGGATTCGAGTCAAATTTTACCTTGTCTTTGATTTTACAAAAAATTACTATTTTAACGACATTGATCATAATTACTTCTCTTCCATCTCATCGGCTATATGTCATTTTTGCTGTATTCAATGATAGTAGGGTTAACCTAAGACTAGAAAATAGTGTGATTTTGTATAGACCCGACTATATATATATGGTTTACAGTTCAGACAGAGAGACCATACCAAATATTATATGGTCCAGACCAAACCAGACCACAGCTCTGCCGTCTGGTCCAGGCCAAGTATACCGCATTGAAAATGAACAATTTGTTTGATCTAGCACACAAAAAATTAAACCAATAACCGAGAAAACAATTTTTTGCCTTAAAATCTAAATTCATACTAACATGCATAATTTTGATACCCTAGATATATGTTCATAACACATAGAGAAAGTCAGAGCAACCTAACTTCCAACATAATAAAAAAAAATATACTTACATAATTTCATATGGATTTGATATCATCTCTACTAAGTTTTGGGATACACAACGCGGAGATACCCGATCCAACTGATGCTATAACTATTACCATAAGTGTTCGTATATGAAGTGTATTTATGTCATATACAACCATGCATATTTGTGAAGAAGTTAGTATATTTTGTCGTATTTTTCTCTCGGAGTGTCACTAATCTAATGCATTATTCAACTAAAATTTCAGACAAAAATTTTAATATAGGCTATGGTCATTTAGTCTTTTTTTTCTGTGTACAATTTTGGCAATATAACATTTTATGGATGTACTAGCTTATAATGAATAAGCACTTTGAATTATAAACAAATCGTAAGGTTCTAAACTTTTCAGTAAGTTTGGATGTAGTATTTCAAAATTAAAGTGTATGGGTTAGGTGATTAAAATGACTAAATCCGAATCATCCTATCTATGCACACCCGTAGTCTCTAATCGTTGGGAGTATGGTTTATAAATGAAATGGGACGAGATTTGCAAAATTAAAGTTGATACTTGAGTCCTTTCATTGGGGAGTAGGGCTAGGAATCCCGTCTCGGTTTTACGGTCAAACCAAAAACCGGGCAGTTTAAACTGCTCCAGTTATAACCGGAAATCAGATTCTAAGTAATCCAATCCAATTTGCGGTTGTACTGGTCATTGTCCCGGTCCGATCCGGTTAAAATTAGAAAACCGGATACATAACATTTCCATTTCGTAAGCCCAAAACAAGCCCATTGATCTGCAGAATGATGCCCTGCCCTAAACAAAAAAATAAAACTCATCCCCAGCCCAACAAAACACGACGCCCAACCCAGTCCTAAGTGAAGCCCTTCTAAGTTCTAACCCTAATCCATATCTCGGCTCTGGTTCGCGCAACCGCACCTCTGCCAGAAGACGATGAACGACGGAGATAGTCGAAGCCAACAACCGACGATGAGGCCCGAAGCCGACGGGACGAAGCCGACGAGGCCCGACAATCCTTATATGTTCTCTTCCCAACAGCTGTCTTTCAATCTTTCCGTCTCTGACCTCAAAACTCTCATTTCTCGTCTGCCTCGCGATCTCTCAATCTACCTGGCGTGAGAGTTCTTTGTAGAGGACAGAAGGAGACTAACAACGTCGGCCTCTAGTGAGACCTCCAAAGCTTGCATGCCTCCTCTCTCTCTCGATCTCTCTTCGTTTTTCAATTCCAGCGGGGGATTGGCGAAGAGGAGAAGAAGTCGAGTGACCACCCAATAGCCTCCCTCCAGTTCGATTCGCCAACGACCGATTCATTGAGGATAAACCAAGAGGAGATGGTGGTGAATCACATCGTCAAGCGACGACGAGGCGATGATGGTGAAAAAGAAAGGCGGTAGAAAAGATGGCTGATAGATTAGAGAAAGTGAAAGGATATGGATTGTGAATCCTATGTTTTAGCTTTGCTTGATCGGCTTCACGGGAGAAAGTGTTGCTCGCCATTCCCATTTTGTAAAAGAAGAGGGCTAGGACCGGATTAATCAGGTCACGGTTGAAACCGGATCCTCATCCAATCCAATTCCCTGTTGTCGATATGGCCGGTTTCAAAAAATCGGGTTAATCCGGTCCGGTTTTGACCGGATCAAACCGTTTCCCCACCCCTATTGGGGAGTGAAGAGAGTAGTTCAGCATACTGCTAAATTGAATTGGGAAATGAGTTGGATCCACAATTTGGTTCACAATACAGACCATGAACCCAGGGTCGTCCAATGGATAGTGGAGGCCCTGTTCCAAAATCGAGATGTGGCCCATGAGATCTTTCTATAAATTAATAAAATCAAAATAATTATAGTATTATTATTCGAAATATAATACATTTCTATATTTTAGTCTCCATGAGATCATTTTCAATTGTTATCATAGCTATTTCA